GTCGAATAGTAAAATTATAATCAATACAATATTACCAGGAAAAGATCAATTACAACAACAAACTTTTAAATACACAGGGCGGCAACACTACTACCATTTTGACCGCAGCTGTATACTTTTATGTTTTTTGACTATGTTTTCTAGAATTTGTTTCTGCCTTAAAAAAAATCTTAAAAATTTTTTAAGTATAGGGTTTAAAAGATAAAGGGTGTATCTTTTAAAAACTTTAACATAGAATTAAACCATGCATCCATTTGCCTCTGAGAGCTCCGCAAAGTTGGCCAATTTCAGCATTTTTCGAACTTTGAGGTCCTTTTAAGAATCCTTGCGTCGGGGAACTTTTGAAAACGCAGTTTGCTTGGGAATTCGGTAACGAATCCAAAAATATAGCATCCATCGAGGTAAATTTAAAAAGCACTAAAAATGCTGCACAGTGTTATCAATGCACCAGTACAATACCACAAAAATTGTCTCTCCAAAATTATATCCATGTTATGATCTCGTTAAGGAGTCAAAAATGTTATGCTATCCTACTGGTATAAAAGTAAGAGAATCCTATGCTGAAATAAGTTTACAATCCCTTATTGATCATACCGTAAAACGGCTGATAAGTGTCTCCACTAGACGATGTACACATGAAGTTTGAATTGTTACCATTTAATAAAAAAAAATCTTAAAAATATAAACCAAATTTTTTTTTTTTTTTTATTAATTATCTTTAATATAAAACCTTACAAATTATTCGAAGCCATAGCAAAAGCCATAATGTGTAATTCTGCCGAAGTGGGGGGACACACGTATTCCGAAGAAGTAGAAATATTGCTAACTCTTTAGGTTGCCATCGAACACACCAAATTACGCAATTACGCTAGAAACAGGACTAGCCCCCCTCTTTTGCAGTACACTGAATAGTCACTTCAGATACATCAGAAAAGTGATGTCCTTTAACGACAGGAGGCTTCCAAAAATTGTGGCATCACACATGCTACAAAGCAAATCTCAGTGCTTTCAAGAGTGGTGTCATTTAGCAAGCAGTGTTAACGTGCAATTTGACTGGAACGATCAGACCACTTGGAAGGACAGTCACCAGAACATACTCGAGGCGATAAACATCCAAGTGAAGGAAACGAGCAGAAGAACAAGCAAGGCAAAGTGAGAGCCGAGAACACTACAGAACGCTTGAGTACAATCTAGGCACGATAAACTATTTTAGCGACCACTTTAAAATCTATGCTATTTCCACGATCTTCAAAGCTAGAGTGGAGATACTACGACTAAACTACGTGCCACATAGACGAGCCCAATCGGAGGAATGCACACTCTAAATGGAGAAAATTGGCCGAATCTAATAGGGTTCCTAAGCGAGGCGCAAAGATATAGAAATCAACTGATTGATGAATCGATATAGGAGGCACCTTTGCATGTATGGGCGCTGTTCATTCGAACGATCTGATATCTGGGGAAGACCCGGGAAGCCAGGTATATTAGAATGGGAAGTCATCTGTATATGCACGGTGATCAGCTGACGGTTTTAAAACCATGCTGATTAAAATATTATATCTTTTTTTAATAAAGAAAAATATATATAAATGTCTTTATGTTAGAAAGTAATTTGTATTATGTATTATGCCAACCCAAAAAATACGAAAATAGTTAAAAGTTTCAAAATTTTTTTTTTAATTTTTGTTGGGGCTTTTATCTTTAAAAAAACAGTTTTTTTTCTAATTTTTAACGCCCATTTTTTATGTTCAACATAATCTTTGGGCTTACTAGAGTATTCACTCCAAATTTGAAGCCGATATCTTTAAAAATACGACTCCTACTGATCTAAGTCCCCCTAGATTGGCAAAATCTCACACTGTGAGACGTACAGACGGACATGGCTAGATCGACTCGGCTATATATTTTTTATAAGGCGGAAATGTTTTCTTCTAGCTGTTACATACTTTTACAATATATACAATACAACATACCCAATTACTCTACGAGTAACGGGTCTAAACATCTAATCGAATACTAATTAAAATGTTGATGATCAAGGGATTGAACATATCAGTAAAACCAGTGTTCCAAAAATTATTCAAGCCTAGTTAAGGAAACAGTCCGACTTGATAAAAGAGATGCCCAAAAGTAGACAATAGATTCACAATTGCAATTTTACAATTTAATCAAAGTCTGCTTATAAAATGTTAATTGCGCATGCTAAACGAGTATTCTATTATCTAAATCTGGGTAGGTTTTCTTAAAAGGCATAAATTCGATTTTCTCTGTTGAACATTCGAGAATCAATTAGGGGGTTTGAATACCCATGCTAAAGCCCACCATCACCGCCCTTCCGCTTTGGTCTAATAAGTGAAAGACAAAAAGTATTTAAAAAGTAGGTACATATTAGAGCCCTGCATGGGTATACAAAATGGGTTATTTGGGTACCCAAACGAAATTACAGGTCAAGTAGGTCAGGCTTTCTTTTAAAAATTTACCTACCCAACCCGACCCCAAAATTTTCGGGTCGTTTGGGTTTGGGTAAAATTTTACCCTTTTACCCAAATACCCAAACCCAAACGACCCAAGTCAAATGGGTTTCAAGTAGGTCGGTTGGGTTTAAGGTTACCCAAAGAAAAAAAATGGATTTTAAAATAAGACGATGATGACAATTTTCACAGCTCATCGACCCGTCGCGAATTCTAAAGGTCAAGATTTGTTTCCACTTCTTTTGCCCATGCGAATTCTTTGATCTTTAAATATTACAAATGTATGATCCACAGAAACATATTCTTTTGCTCTAAAGAACTCGCGGTTTTAGAAAAATAAATATGGGATATACATATGGGTTTCTTAGTTAAGTTATGTATGATCCACACAAATAAATCCTCTTGTTCCTAAGAATTCGCGGTTTTTGAAAAATCGATATAGAATATACCATTAGGTTTCTTAGTTAAGTTATGTATAATCCACACAAATATATCCTCTTAATCCTAAGAATTCGCGGTTTTTGAAAAAATCGATTAATTTAAGAACTTCCATAGATTTTATATTAATTCTTCCAACCCGCGAATTCTTAAGAACAGGAGGATCTTCAGATTGGTTGGACCGTGCTTTTCTTATCTAAGGCACTAATGCTTATACTTGGCTCTATAATTATTAATTCTTCACAAACCGCGAATTCTTAGGAACAAGAGGATTTATTTGTGTGGATCATACATAACTTAACTAAGAAACCTAATAATATGTTCTATATTGATTTTTCAAAAACCGCGAATTCTTTAGAGCAAGAGAATTTGTTTTTGTGGATCATACATCTGTAATATTTGAAGACCAAAAGAATTCGCATGGGCGGAGGATGTGGAAACAAATGTCAATATATCGTATCCTTTAATTTTAAATATTATACACAGATAACCATCTTGACCTTAAGAATTCGCGACGGTTCGATGAGCTGTGAAAATTGTGATCATCGTCTTATTTAAAAATTAATTTTTTTTTGGGGTAACCTTAAACCTGAACTGTTCTACTTGAAACCCATTTGACTTGGGTCGTTTGGGTTTGGGTCGTTTGGGTTTGGGTCGTTTGGGTTTGGGTAAAAATTGACTCACTTACCCAAATACCCAAACCCAAACGACCCAAGTCAAATGGGTTTCAAGTAGGTCGGTTGGGTTTAAGGTTTGACAAACAAGTCAGGTTACTTGTGCAGGGCTCTAGTACATATATAATAACAATTTGTTTGTCAAAGTTAAAGCTTTCTCGATCTTGGGTACTAATTTGACTGTCGTGTTATATAATATAACTAGCTATACCCGGAGCGACTTCGTTCGCTCAAAAATAGTTTGCAGTTAGGAAATTAGGTTGTCAGGACTTTCTTATATCTTATTTGCGCGTTTGCTGAAAACCTTTGCGTAAACAACCTTTCTAGAAGATTCTTCAAGAGAGAGAATCCGAAGTAGTGAATTTTTATACCTTCTACCAGTTACAATGTTATCAATGCAATTTTAATTTTATTTGTATTTAAGCACATTATGTACTTTCAAGTAGAAGCATAAACACACATTGTGTGTATGTATTGCATTGTACAAATCAAAACATTTCCAAATATGCATATGTACATACGTATTTGGTCAAAAGTTCGAATCTTAAGATTAATATTTAACTTGGAAACATTTTGGCTTTGTTTACAGAATTTGTAGTCATTTTTTATCTTCTTCCGTTGTGGAAATTAAGGCTCTTACTTCTGCTACAAAATGAAAAATATTTTTTGAAAAATAAAACCTAAGCATTTGATCTACATGACTGACTATTGATCGAAAATCATATTGATCGGAGCAGCAGTTTAAGTTTTAAAAATTCAAAACAAATTTTAACTTAAATTGCCCTCCCCCTCGCCAGTTTTCTTGGCTGCTGCTCTCTCGGCCGTCGCTCTCCTGCCATCCGCTCTCTGGGTTATGCTCTCTCGGCAGGCTCCCACAAAATGCAACGCAATAACTTAGGAAATCTAAATAAATTCGTTAAAATTACTTTAAAAAATGTTAAAAACTTAAAAAATTAAACTTAAGCAATTGGGCCATAGAATAACTATTGAGCCAAAACTCATCTTGATCGGAGCAGCGGTTTAGATTTTTTAAATCGAAAAGTTAATTTTAAATGTAGCCCCCAAATTATGGGGGATATCGAAATTTCTTTTAGATTTCTAATTAGGCCCTTTCAAGACCTAAAATTCTGCAAAATCAAAATTTCGAAATTTTAACCTCTTTAGAAGTTAAGCTTAAGTAAATTTAATGATTTTTTGCTCTAAATATGGATATTGGAGCTGTTTGGGGCCACTGGGGGGATCATGTCGGACCTTAGTGGGCGCCTACGCCCCCCAATGGAATACTGTGAAAAAATTTGGCTGCTCTAGCTCTTATGGTTTAGGCTGTGGTCGTATCCCCCTAAAAATCGGTCTTTCATTTTATAATCTTTAGAGATTATAATTATAATTTCTATTAAATCGATTTGTAATATTTTAATTACATTCCTAATCTGCTGACTTTTAGATGAATTCCCCCCTTTGAACTCAGCAGAATATCATCGGTCCTATATTCTAAGGGTACGACTGTCTTGGTAGGGTGCAACTCGAACTTAAAGTTGTGGATGAGCAGCGCCATTCCAACGACGACCTGCATCCGACCAAAGCGAAGACCAATGCAGTTTCGGGGACCATCCCCAAATGGAAGGAAGGTGCAAGCGGGACGCTGTTGCACCTGATCCTCATCGAACCGCTCTGGGATAAAGTTCTCCGGTTCCGGGTAGAACTCGGGATCATGATGAATGGCCCAGGTCGGCACAATCACTCCTGTGCCTTTTTCAATGTAATACTTTGGATTGGTGTGCTCATAACGTTGGGTTGCAACGCGAATTAAATGACCCACTACCGGACGCTTCCGCATGGTCTCTGCGAAAGAGAAGAATATAAAATGCATTTTAGAAGGGAAATAAGGTCCAATAAAAATGCAACTCACCGTCGATAACCTTCTCTAAATAAGTCATCTCCCGCATGCTGTCATAGTCTAGTTTTCCATTATGTTTCTCCAAAACGCTATTCACCTCAGCCCTTAGTTTATCCTGAATATCCTGATTGGAGGCCAACTCATATAGAGCAAATCCCATGGTTGTAGAGCTTGTTTCAAAGCCAGCCAAGAAAAATATGAAAGCCTGGGCAGCAATTTCATTAAAGGTTAACCCATTTTGCTTGTCGCCATTATCGTATTTTAATTTCATATCAATCAGCATATCCATAAAATCGTTTCGTTTCACTTTGTTTTTTACGCGATAATTCACAGTGTTCTTAATGATATTCATGTAAAAGTCCTCGACCTTTTGGACATTTCCCTTCATACGCAACTTGGCCGCCAATTTTGGGGCCCCGAAGAGAAACAAATCCATCGATTTTCCATAACGTCGTTCGGTGATGGCGGCAGTTCCCATTTGGACAAATTCCGCCTTAGGATCGGATAAACTGTGACAATCCAAACCGAAGGCACAAGTTCCAATGACGTCGGCGGTAAAACGGGCCAATAAGTCAGTGATCTCCAAGGAGTCCTTACTTTCGGAAATTTTCCTTTCAAATACCCGAATCATATCATCCCCCACGTCCAGAATGGTGGGAAACATGGTCTTCATTTTGCCAGAGGTGAATGTGGGAGTCAGTTTCTGGCGCAGGGTTTTCCACTTCTGACCCTCGAGGTTTACCAGGTGAGCGGACAGCGGATCATCTCGCTCGTTGTGAAACATTCCGCGATCGTGGAACTTGTCAAACTCGCGGATCAGCACAGTCTTAGCGAAATCAATATCGGTGACCACCGCCGTCTTTTTAAAATATAAATAAAATCCAACGAACGGTCCATCGGTCTTATTCTTAAACTTAAAGTAGGTCCTTTTGAAAATATCCGAGAGTTGCATAGTCTTCATAGACTCGCTGGTATTGCCGAATGGAATTTTGGGTGCATCGTGGGGAATACCGCGACGCTTCCAATAGTTAAAGTTTTGGTGCACGAACTACGCGACGAGGGTAAGAACACCGGCTAGGAGTACGATTAGAACAGCCATTGCGAAATATAGAACAATACTGAAAACGGGCCTGCTCTTATATACCCCATTCGCCCTCTCTTCGCAGTCAGCAGACACTCTTAATCAGTGGACAGTGAAGAGTAACAAAGTCCGATTCGTATCGTCAAATGCCGACTCAGCCATGGTGAAACTATACAAGGTGGTCTCGTCAGCTCTGCTGAGGACGTTAAATATGTTTACCTCTCTGTCTCTCTTAAGCGATAGAATGAGAAAGCTAGATAGAGACTGGCACAAATAACGTCCTCAAAAGAGGGCAGCTCTCGCGACGAGATCACCTTGTATAGTTCCACCATGGACTCAGCGTTATATTTTATTTACAACCGGTTCGTAAAATTCTCTCTTAAATTTTCCCTTGAATTAGATCATAGAATGTTTCCAAGATGTACGGCTTGACTTACAGTGTTTATTTTACTTACATTTTACTGCACCTTCCTATTATTTAATATCCATTTTATCTTTACTTTTGGGATATCTGCACTTTTACCAAAAACTTGTTTCTACTTTAGTCTCTTTAGGAATAAGTAAAATGCAAGTCATCGTTATTATTGCCTTTTTTCTTTGCGGTAAGCATGACTCGGCAAAATATTTAGTTGGCTTTTACTTATGGTACCAATTGTACCAAACCGCAATTACAACAAGAGAGAACGCTATAGTCGGGTGACCCCACTATCAGATACCCGTTACTCAGCTGATATAAAACTTTGATCGGGCATAACTTTCTAACGACTGGTCCGATTTGAAAAATTTTTTTTACTATGGTATAAATAAACGCAACAAGATTGCATTTATACTTCTCCGAAATCTTTAAAAATGTGGGCGCTAGACACATTTTAAAATCGTTTGTGGGCGTTAGAGGGGAGTGGCCCTCGGCTGAAATAAACTTGCGCTGCGTAAGAAGTCCAAGAATATGTGTGAGAAATCCCAACCTTCTAGCTTTTGTAGTTTCCAAGATCTTAGCGTTCATACGGACAGACAGACAGACGGACATGGCTATTTCGACTCGGCTAGTGACCATGATCAAGAATATATTTACTTTATAGGGTCGGAAACGTCTCCTTCACCGCGTTGCAAGGGTATAATAAATACTAATTTTCTGTGAAAAATTCTAATTTAGGGAGTGCATTGATATAAATTAAGATTTATTTAAAGTCATTTTTTGTTTCTGTGTATAAAAAGAATATTATATTGTACCGAATAATATAATTCTACTGCATATTTTGAGGGTAAAAGAAAGTCAGTAACTAGAAAAATTAATCAATGAAAAGATAACGTTAAAAAAAATGTAATACTTAAAGCAGCATATTTTTTGGGTGAAATAGAATAAGATAGATACGATTTATTGATTTATTTACATGGAACATAAATTTGTTGGTAAGTTGCAAAAGTTTTAATGACATTTTATGAAGCTCGTATGATAACTGTTCTTAGTTGTTATTTTTATGCAACGTTCTTGAAAGGTTACTGAATTTTCCTCTATAGTCGGTAAATAATCGTTCTTGATCCAATTTTTCATGTGTTTCAGCTGGCTTTTATTTTCCGGCATGTATTTATTTATTAGCTCACCAAGTATGATGTCATTTTCGATTTCACGGCGCCAATGTAAAAAGCTTTGTGAGAATATTTTCAATCTGGTTATATATCCAATAAAACAAGGCTAGAGTGATTTGGATGTAGTAATTAAGCGTTGTATTGCTTTTGCAAATTTAACAATTAATTCCTATGACTAGTGCACAACATTATTTAATATTAATTTACTATTCAAAACCTGTTCTACTTGAGCCGGACCATATCTGATAAGCGGGTGAATAAAACAGTAATTATCCAATTCTCTACACATTTAATCAATATAAATAAAAATAAAAATGCCCCTTACAATATCAGCGGGACATACATATATCGCCATATATGAGTTCAGGATCTCCAATTACAAAACGTTCGATTACAATTCCAAACGTAGAAAGGCTATACATAAGACTGTAGGTGGGAAACTAGCTAACACTTAACTGCATGTGAAAATTATCAGTAATTACTAGTTTCAATTAAGTATACTTTTTATTCAGCTAATTGCGTCGTTGCCGCTGAGCTCTCAATCAAATTATTACGGTGGTTTGATTATCTTTATGACTTTGCAACCCTACTGACTTTCAAATGAATTCCGCCCTTCGAACTCAACAGAATATCATCGGTCCTATATTCTAAGGGTACGACTGTCTTGG